CCGCGGGGCACAGGGGCGGCGGGGAGGGCCCCAGCCCGCCTGGCCTCGCCTCGCCCCGCCGCGGGCGGGGGCCAAACCCCGGCCCGTTTCAGGGCTTTTCTACAGCACCGACACGGCACCCATTGCTGCGTCCCGCGGTGCGCCCAGTGCCGTCCGCCCCCGAGTGTCTGCGTGCGTCTGTAGGTACCCGTATACCTGTGTGTGTACACACACAGACACGCACTTGCAGCAAAACAGTCTTCCAAAAAAACCCCAACCCGATAATATCGGTTTACAGATGAAAATGATGCGTATGGATTTATTCAGCCTACTTTGCCCTAAATTGCGGGCAGCAGCCTCCCGTCTGTGACAGTCTTTACCTTCCCTTCCACTTAGAGCTTTTCTGATTCTAATATTTGCTGATTGCTTGTTTCTATATGTGGCACATTGTTATTGTTTTAAACTTACTTTTGTAGCACTTGTGAAAACCCGTGTACAGCGATTATTTATCCGCTCGGTGCAGATCATGGGTTAATGACCTTCAGATGTGGCCGATTTAATTATAATGATAGCTGACATCGCACGCGATACAGGGCTGGGATTGCACTTGCCTGCTGATCCTGGAATAATGACTTTTATTCCCTTCCTCGTTAGGACGATGGCTTCTATCTCCGAGCGCACCTTCATCGCCATCAAGCCTGACGGAGTCCAGCGGGGACTGGTGGGAGAGATCATCAAGCGGTTTGAACAGAAAGGATTCAAACTGGTGGCCATGAAATTAATACATGTAAGCTTTCCTTAATTTGTATGTCTCCTTTTTCATATAAACTGCAGCCTTAAAGTAGAGCAGCAGGCTGTAACGACAAGCGTCGTCTTCAGAACAGTTAAACCTGAAATTTTGCGAAGTCTTTGACTATTTTGGAAAAGTTCTAATTCCCAGCTCTGGCTAAATGCTTTAGACATGCCAAGCATGCTAATTTTGGTAACTTCATGTCCTTAGTCTGAAGAGAATATTCTTTTAGCTGCATCCTATACCTAATAAATATCTCCGAGTATCTTCAACAAATGCCAGGTCACATAAACTGTCTGTATTGGCAAAAGATACTTTGCTAAGTTCAGCTGTGGTTAAAGCAAACAGTTCAAGTTCGTATCGACCAAAGTACTTCTAGGAAGATGCTAGAAATGCAGAATTTTCAAGTGCGTGCAAGTTTTAGGATTAATAGTGCTCTGTGGTTAATCTGTGATTTCAGTATGCTCTTAAGTTCTTACAGTAAGCTGTTTTTGGCTGGTTGGTTGGTTTTTAATGCAGGCCTCTGAAGACCTTCTGAGAGAACACTACATTGACCTCAAGGACCGGCCGTTCTATGATGGTCTGGTGCAGTATATGCACTCGGGACCTGTTGTAGCTACGGTGAGTCCTTAAAAATGAAGCTCAGCTAAGGAAAATGCACTGTATAATTGTCTTACCTGCAATAAGATTGTGTTACCTATTGAATTCTAGTTTACTTTTAAAAGGACTTTAAAACCTAGATTCAAATACTGTAATTAGGAAGACATGCTGTTGACTCCTTTTTCTTTTAATCTTTGTTTCATAATCTTTCTCTCCTTTGAGTCAGTGTGTTGAGGAAGAAGGCAGGGGTAAAGGGGGAGCCAAAGCTGGGACCTTGGGAAACCGCAAACCTGCACAAAAAACCCGCTATGAGATGCCATGTATTAAGCAAGCTGAAAAATGCTGGCAGAATATTTTTACTATACTCCTAAGCCATAGTAACTTTGAAAATCTTTTCCAGTCTAACTTCATTAGAAGGGATTTTCTCTTCTTTTCCTTGATAGTGTATTTGTAAGATAGTTGAGCTGGAGGTCTAGATCTTCAGTGAGCAGACAGCTTTGTAAGGCTGTTTACCATATTGAGGTTTAAAATTACTCTCTTCCCGTCCTTGGTGAGGAGAGGTATTGTGCAGAAGGAGAGAACTTCAGTAGAGGCTTCAAGAATCTGACAGGAAAATTGGAGATAAAGTGTGTCTTGCTACTAGGAATATTCGGATGGTGATTTGTGATGGACAGCGTTGCGTAATCCTGGAAGGTATGATTAACTCTTACTACTTTATCTACCGCTAAGATTTAATAATCTCAATGGATTTTTTTTGTTTTTAAGGTGTGGGAAGGTCTTAACGTGGTTAAGACTGGAAGAGTGATGCTGGGGGAAACTAATCCATTCGATTCAAAGCCTGGCACCATTCGTGGTGACCTCTGCGTTCAGGTTGGAAGGTATGTTTTGAAACGATTGATATCATCTAAAGACACTAAATGCCCAGTGGTGTGTCATGATATATGTCATGATGTATGTAGGAACTGTGCTCCATCCTTCTCTATCTTATGCACGGAGCTGCCGTTCCCTGTGCCCGTGTCATGTTACGATCTAAAGATGGGAGTCGAGTTGTGGTCTTCCCCATCGACAGAAACGATGAGCAGAGCTGGGACGGCACGCTCCCTGCCTATTGCTGCTTTACCGTTACTTACAGCTTCTCTCCATAATGGAGACCGCTTCAAAAAGCGAAGCGTGCTTTGCTTTGAGTTTGAGGATGGTATTACTGCTTTTATATCCACCTTTTCTTTTCCTAGGAACATCATTCACGGAAGTGATTCTGTAGAAAGTGCTGAGACAGAGATCAATTTGTGGTTCACTCCTGACGAACTGGTTGATTACAGAAGCTGTGCTCATGAATGGATCTATGAGTAGAACTGAGCCGATACCTTCTGATATTCTGTCTGTAAACAGCTGCTAGCCTCTAGCTGTCTCAACGCCCTTCATATAAACTGGTAGAAACCCATCTCAGAATTCTGTGAGATTGCTCTGTTGGGAATAGTAAATATAGTCAGTGTTCGCTGCTGCTTTGGTTAAAAAGCTGTCGAGTTATAGATGGAATTGTACTCTTAAAAAGCTGCTTCTGGGGGCGAGAGATACGAGGTTAAAACACAGAGCATATAACGCATATATTGTCCCCAAACACTCTGTAGTCAAAGAGGGCATTTTGGTGAATAGAAAAAAATTTGGTAAAAATTTATTTGGTAAATAAATATGCAAATGGCTCAGTGTCAAAAGTTGACATTGTTAAAATGTTGGGGGACAACTGGTGGTATGTAAATATATTGATGGTGTGCCCAAACGCCGAGGACTGAACTCGGTATCGAGCGAATCCCCATGCCCAAGACGGCTGGAGAAAAAAAGCTTCTTTCTCCCTGCGGAACGCGCTGTGCCTGTACGCAGAGCATAGCTTTGACTAAAATGAGAACTTTCCTCTAGATTGACACTGTTTCAGCTTGCTTTTTTTATCCCCACATGGGATTTATTTAGCATTTTAAGGAAGGATTAATAGGCCAGGCTTTCTGAAATGCCCTTTTATGTGAAAAGAAGATCAGCGTGGGGTTGGTGAGGGAGATCTGCCTTCAGCCACTTCACTGTAGCAGTCCTCTGACGTTGCGCAGAGCAACAGGGCGCCGTTTGCTTTACTGACTGAAGAGCTGATAGTTCAGCTGTGTTCTCATTTGTGTCCTTTCCTTAATAGTTGGAACTACAAAGCGAGCTGTTCTTGGGTGAGGTATTTCAGAAGTGACTGTAGCTTTTTTTTTTTTTTTAATTTATTTAATCATGTAATGAAATACAGTCACGATAATGCTAAATGTATTTCAGTAGAGGTGCCTGCTTCTATCAGAGAAAACTATCCGCCTCTTGCAGAAATCTTAATAACAAATATTCACTAGCTGTACCGGATGAGGAACAAGAAATGTGTTGGGGTCAATATTATGTATTTATTTACCTGCAACCTGTATTCATTAAAAGCAAGAGGTTCATGAAGTTAGTTGTTTGATCTCCTAGATTTTTTTCCTACAGCAAGTTCTTGTTTCAAATACGAAACTGTGCAATGAATGTTGACGTCGATGCTTACGATACTTTATGAAGATCTAACTCCTGAAAAGAGATGGTGCAAAATAAAACAACAGCTGCTGTTTAAGTGAAATAAAAGGAAATTTTCATTGTATTGCCTTAGAGCTAATTAATGAGCATAAGGAGCGGGAACAAATTCCCTAACTACCAAACTGTAGGAGTGCTACAGGAGATAAATAATTAAGTTAAAGGGAACATGTGACAAACCTGTGCAGGGGGCGAGTAGTCTCCAGTTCCATTTTTGCTTGAAGGATTACTTGAGGTTTCTTTTTCTTGATTTGCTTACTATAAAATAGAGAAATTGGAGTTACCTGGAGACGAGGGGGTTGTCAGAAAGCTACTGATTAGTATTTCTAATGCATTTAGACCGAGAGGAGGTGGAGGTCGGCCATCTCTCGAAGAAGTGCAATACTCCGGCACGTCCGAGGTGCCCGAGTGAGCGCGTCCAGTTTCACCCATCGTAAGTGGCCCGTCAGTAAGAGACTGCGTCAAGTACTGCAGAGGGTGTTTCTTTAGTATTAGAATTGCAGTGAAGGTGTGTGATTGTAACTAGCTCAGGAGGATAAAACGCATTTTGTAAATCAGTAAAGTACCAAGCAGTAAACAGGTAACAACGCTCTTCCTCATTCTCGTCGTGATGCAGGTCCGGGGGCGGTGGAGTTTGACACCCGCGTTTTGACACTTCGCAGCTTCATCTTCCCGTGTCCCGACAGAAGAAGTGTCACCGGTAGCTCTCCTGGCGCTCAGATCCTCTGTCGCTTTTCCGTGAGAAATAGTTTCAGGCAGCCGTAAGGCGTGCTGCGGGGCCGAGCTAGGCTGGCAGCAGCAACCGCGAGTCGGCCGGCTGCGGGGGCAGAGCAGCAACGCGAGTACCTCTCGGTAAAAAAGGGTTTCGTGCAGCTAAACGCCCGTCGCCTTTCCGCCGCGGAAAAGGCTGACGCCCCCGCTGCTGCGACTGGAAGTTAGTAACCCCCCAAGGCGGCTCGCACCTTCATCGCCATCAAGCCCGATGGGGTGCAGCGGGGGCTGGTGGGGGAGATCATCAAGCGGTTCGAGCAGAAGGGCTTCCGCCTGGTGGCCATGAAGTTCGTGCACGTAAGTCTCCGCGCCCGGGGAAGGGCCCCTGCGCCGGCTCTGCCCTAACGCTTTCCCTCCGCTGCCAGAAGAGGTACTTAAATACACCTCCCTTCCTCTGCGGCTTCTCCTGCATCGGAATGGGCGTCTGATGCCGAATTTGCGCAGCGGCTGGAAGTACCGCGTCACTCACCCGGCCAAGCTTTCCGTCGGCCGCAAACGTTTGGTCTCTGCCATTTCCTAAGGGAGTGAGATTTGCTCGGATGGCTTGAAGCAGCCGAACCGAGAGCCCTGAAATGACCTTGACTGAAAGGTTGTGTCGGGTGACATCCTCCAGGCACCTCGTGCGCAGCTTATTGCTGGGGATAACTGTAAGGCAAAGAAATAATTTTGACGACTCGCAACGCCGACACTGCTAGGAAGAAAGATGGCAGGTTGTGCACGCCTTTGATTTTACACTAGGAACCGTCACTGAGGTCATGATAGCGTTGCAGCAGCTGTCGATAATATTGATGACTGGTGAATCCCGTCACTAATGCTGCAGCCTTACAGCAGTAACGCCTTTTGTGGTATGGTATTTTGAAGGTGGTATTTAATGTTGCGTCTGTCCTTTCAAAGGCCTCTGAAGACCTTCTCAAGCAACATTACATCGACCTCAAAGACCGACCGTTCTACCCTGGTTTGGTTAAATACATGAACTCCGGACCTGTTGTGGCCATGGTAAGTGGCTTGATTTTACTTAAAGACTACTACTTCCTTGAATGTATGTGTCTCGCTCTGTAAATTATTTTAAAATATCCAGACACGCTGTTACGGAAACACTTTTTCAAACTACCCAGTTCTGATAGTGGCAAAAGAAAACCAAAATTAAAATGAAGACAATCAAGTAAGAAGTAACTATTTGTTAAGAAGAAGGAAAGCGTGCATGTATAAAATGCGTATTAAAACGCTTAGCATGGATTAAACAAAATTCCTGAAAGCCAGTCTTCTGCACCAAAGAACCTGTTGTTTTGGGCAAAAACAGGTCAGGGCTCTCCCACAGAAACCCCTCTTCTGTGTCATTCTTTTTTGCACTCCCCCCAAAACAATAAAATTGCCCTTGTAGCGTCTCCTCCTGACTGTGTGCCCAACCAGGAGCGCCTGCAACGCTCGCGGCTGCCCTTACCCTGTCACTACAGGAAGGTTTCGGGATTGGCCTCGTACATCAGTTAACCCCAAGGCTTGGTAAAGCTTCTCCTTCACTGGAGTGACGACGCTGATGGTCCTTTCTATAATCGCTTTCAGTTCATACGGTTTTTCCCCTATTCGTCTTTACAGGCCTAAGGGGGAATCTAGGCTGGATTAATTTTCTTAGTGGTGGAGCCCTTGTTGCTTTGCGAAGTATGTCATTAGCAAAGATTAATCTTTGGTATTTGTGTAAGCATCGATTAATAGGATTTGTTTGTCTTTTTTCCTTAAGGTATGGGAAGGACTCAACGTGGTGAAAACTGGGAGAGTAATGCTAGGGGAAACAAACCCTGCCGACTCCAAGCCTGGTACCATCCGTGGCGACTTCTGCATCCAAGTGGGAAGGTTTGTGCTCAGTTTGTTACCAGTCGCAATTAAAAACCTCAAGTGTTGGTAGTCTCTTATGCTAGAAAGTCAAAATTGTTGGCAGATACCCTAGTGTGATGGTATTTTATTTGCAGGTCACAGTCCGTAACTGCTACTTAAGAAAATGGCTTTTTTGAAATAGAGCTCCTCATCAGAGCGTCATGTAAGATCAGTCAGCGGCGGGGGCTGGTCACCCGGCTAGGCCTCACTAGCTCCTGTAGTGGGGGTGTCTCGGTGCCGTACCTGAAATAGTCTTGCAGCTCTAGATGCTTCATCCAGGGTTTTGCATATGGAGAACTGCTGGGTTGCTCAAAGTGTATTTCCAGAGGGACCAACGCGTTTGTCTCCTTCCGCAGGAACATCATTCACGGCAGCGACTCCGTAGAAAGCGCGCAGAAGGAGATCAACCTGTGGTTCAAACCTGCAGAGCTCATCAACTTCAAATCTTGCGCACATGATTGGATCTACGAGTGAAGGGAGCTTCCACAGTGAATTGTGCCTTGGTAACGCATCATCTCATTCCAGCTATTGACCTGGGAGCAATTACCACCACGGTTATCCTAGTCATTTTCAGCACTGTCAAATAAATGGATAGGAACTAAGGCGTTGTGGTGCATTCACTATAAAACAGACTACTGCGTTCGAACACCCACATAAGTCATTTTACTCAGTCGTTGAGTGCTTTCCTCTCGTAGAAGGAACAGTTAACCCAGGCTTCCACGTACAGGCCTAGCAGAGTAAAAACGCGGTGACTTCTGTTCATGGCAAAGGGCTGTGAAGGCTCGGAGGTACGTTACAGTTGCAAAGCCACCTTGCAGAGGGAGAGCTGAAGGGATGCTCGAGCTGCTCCCAGCACAGCAGAACTGAACTAGAAGAAAAATGTGATGCCGCCCAGTGACAAAATCTCCCTCCCTACACAACTGTTAATACCAGCTGTGAAATAGGAGACCGGGTGCAAGGCTTGCTCTCTGTTGAATGCTTGTCTGAGGCCACCACCTCCTCCGATGGAAAACCCTGCCCTCTGCCTCGCCCGCTTTATTTGTGCTCAGACGAACATACCCCGTTACTTAAAATATTCACGGTTTTGCAAGCGGCGGGTATTTTTATTTATCTGCCTTCTCTTAGGCGAGAAGCAAGCTGGGGTGCATTCGTGTATGTGCCCAGGAGCGCCTTTTAAACAAAACAATCGCTCTTCAGAAAAAAGACTTTTTATCATTTTTATTTTGTGTAAAAAAGGCAAATTTAGTGAATTATTTTCATCTTGTACACAAAGTTATAATTTTAATGCTTTTCACATCCATGCTGAAAATCTGCAGTCTCATAAAAATGAAAGTAACATTAATTTCTCCAAAAGCATTTTTTTTTTTCCACTTAGGTACGTTGCATGAGAAAGCTTTAAATACTCTCTCATTGACCACACAAATTACCAAGAAAATAAAAGATTAAATTTGTACAGATATTGATCTATATATCAAATACATACAGAAATGATGTAAAAACCCCATTTGTTTAATCTTGATTCCCGCCCCAACATTTTCCCAGGGGCCAAAGCTGTGGCTTCTTGTTTTAAATACGAAAATTAAAAGGAAGAAAAATTCAGTTTAAATCACAGTTTTTTAAAATCCCTTCCCAATAAAGGATTGTTACCAAATATATTAGCACCATCGTACAAATATTGAAGGGAGAGGGTATTCACATCACATAAAACAACAATAAAAAAACAAACAAACACTGAAACCCGTGTTAGTATCCGTAGAACAAGGAACCGATAACTGCTTTAGCTTTCCTCAGACGCAGCAAGGAAAAGGTTAAAGAGGTGTATTTAAAATAACATAAAAATCAAAGATCAGCAGAAAGATTTTGAGCACTAAAAGAAGGGTAGCTGCGAAGTAAGGTACATAACTTGCGCTACCTTACGGTGATAAAAACCTGCTATCCAAATACTGAGGTTAGTTTGACCCCATTGAAGGTTTCAGATGTCCAACACTTTGCTGCTCTGGTAGCCAAGTAACGTGGCTTAGAGTAAAACGAAGACGAACCCAGAGCCACGTTACCAACGAACGCTTGGCAAATACAGCGAAGCCTACACCGTGGATACCACGGCCCGCAGGTAACCCACCCTGCGAAGAGACCCTTCGCTGAAGGCCTGGTGGCATTTTGCTCAGGCTTCCCTTAAACCTCTCCCTAAGCAAGTGACCTCAAGTAGTTCGTTCTGTGGTTTGCTTAGGACAGAGCTCGCCGTACTTGCCACTGACACAACTGGGTGTATTTCGAGTTCAGAAACGCAAGAGAAATTTCACCCGTAAATCTCAACACGCAACTCCTGCTGAAGTCACACGTGTCTGAGAACGCGTGTCAACTCACATACTTTAGTGTTCAATGAATGAAATACCTGTTTTTAAAGAACATTATAAAGACTGACAGACTTCAAATCCGATTCTTACATTTCTCCAACACAGGAAGCGTCTTCACCTTAAGCGCTCATTTTCCCTCTTGACATTTGAAGACTGTAACTCAGGTAATCGGGTACGAGCCCGGGCAACACACACAAGCCCAAGGTTTAGTGACTTGGCAACACACCTTGCTCATTACTAGCCCAGGCTTTCACATTATGAAACACAAATTAATGCAACAGTTCTTCTACTGAAGTCAGAAGCTGTTGATGAGAGAAGAAAGCAAGATTGTGCCAACCTTGTTCCAGCTGACGGGGACAATTGCAAGGTGTTGCATTAAAAAAATAATCAATCAATAGTGATGTACTTACCAATCCAAATCAATGCTTGCAGAGCTGGATTTTACAGCAGGTTAAATTGAGAACACAGGAAAAAAAACAATCAAGGCTCATTACAACGGTCTCTAATCCTACTTCTCCGATGCAGGCTGTTCAAAAGAAACATCATGGGTGGGTCCGGATCTGAGAGAAGGTATTTGAAGTCTACCAAGCCTGACAAAGTCCTTTTTACGGCTATTTTAGAGAGCTAAAATGTCTTTACCACCTGAAGTTACAGATACTTATAACCTGATAACCAGATTCTGTCAATATAAGAAGCTGTCGTTAAAAAGGGGTCATTATTTAAGAAATTTTACCAGTAAGGGAGAAAAGAATTCCAGACATTCCTACACTATACAGGACATTTTTTACTTCCAGTAGTAAATACAAAACTTTACATAATTAACCCCTCTTGCATAGAATGAGGTAAACCTGTGCCTATTACCAATACTATGTACCCAAA